ATTAGTCGACTAATCGAATAAATAATCTGTGATTAATCGATTATTAAAATAATCGTTTGTGGCAGCCCTAGTAATAACCAAGATAATTAAGATCATTGAGATAATGTGCGCAGCCTAGACTGTGCACATGACAACTAGGATTGTAAAATCTATACACATCAATGTATTAATTCAGATTCAATTCGAAAATACTTTATTATCTCAAAGGGAAATTAAATTAAATTATTAATTATTCAACTACATCAAGGCTAGACAAAAATGTCAATCAATATCATCATCATCTTCCAGCTAAGACTATCGTTATGATAATGATTGTGTTAGATGGGCATATATCACATATCGATTGCAGACTTATGAATTGAATTTATTCGAAATCGTTTTGTGACACTTTGTGAAAGACAACGTCATATCATCACTCAAAACATTTTGCTGATGATGAAATCAATAATAAGCTGAAACACATAATTTTCTGAGACAAAGCCTACTGTTGCACATCAAAGTTCTGAGGAGAAATGGTGAGTTTTCATGTGCAAATATGATATTTGCATAAGAAAACCGACACAGCTTCTGTGTTTAGTCTTTATTGTCATCACAGGGCGTACAAGGATGTTTTGTTTCATTGTGTTCCGAGCTTCYCATGATTGTGAAACACGGCAACAAACCTGTGGGAGCTCACTGCATCTGATGCTGAATTATTGAGCAGTAAAAGACAAAACACACACACACAACAAACTGAGGTCACCTTATTAGGAGCCCAATCAGCTGTGATGTAATGTGRACGCTGCAAACCAGACTGAACTGGACTTGGGTACAAGGGAGCTTCAAGGCTAAACTTTACACTCCAGTTGCCATCCTATGAGCATCGGCTTCCCATCAGGAGATTGGTGCTGCTCGCCGAGTTTCGCGAAAACAACTCCTAATATGTTCAAAGGAAGACTTAACCGGGCGCCACTTACACGGAATAGAGGCGCAACCTAGATTTCAGGCTTCAGTGAGGAAAGCGAAATAACTGTAGCTGCAGGTGTAAAAAGAAGGGAATTCATTCCTATCTGTAGAAAATGAGTTTTATTTTCTTTTTTTAACAATAATATGCGAAATGTTTAATGTAGAAAAATGAAGCCAAACTTACAAATCGGATCATCCATCTTCAAACTCCGCTGAATCCGGATGGAGGCTGGAACTGTGTTTTCTATCAGTTGGTCGACTGACTGCAAAATGAAAGCGTTTTAATAAATAAAACGTGCTTCGTGCAAATTATGTGTTGAGATGTAAATAAATAAATATGAATAAATCTTACCTCCAGTCCCAGAGCATCCAGCATTTCTCTCTTTTCCCGCTCACCTGGACCGATGTGCCGCTCCGCGAAGTCATCGTGTCTGGGTAAAATCCTCTCTATCCGCCTGGAGGAGGCGGCTGCGGACGTCCTGAGAGCCCGGGCTGCTGCTGCTGTTGTTAGGGACGCTGCCGCTGAGCGGTGCCGGACCCTGCTCGGAAGTTTCCAAACCACGCCGCTCTGCTCGCTCAGACGCCGGCACGGGGCGCTGGGAGTCACCGACTTGGTCAAGAAGACCCGGCCCCAGGACTTGGCGCAGCTCTGCATCTCTCCCAGAAAAAAATTAATAAAAAAAAAAAAAAACACCAACCTGTTCCCTCTTTACCCGAACGAAACCAGCTAAGTCTTTTGTTTCTACCCCCGCTTCGCGGTGCGGGAGATAACCCCGGCTGCTACCAACTCCTTCAAAGTGCAGAGTTTATACCAACGCACCGTTGCACAAGAGCGGACCAATCCGCGCCGAGACGCTGCGTGACGTAGCGACGAGCCCCGGTGAAAACAGCTGCTGGGCTTTTTCACGTGCCAGCTTCTTCTTCTTCTTCTTCTTCTTCTTTTGAATTAATGGCGGATCGCAAACAACTTTTAGGTGCATTCCGCCTACTGTGCATGAGTGTGTGACCTCATAGCT